TGCTTCTATCCGTGTTCAATGCTCTTCCCTTCACAGTCCGTATTATGTCATTCCCTCTGTGTTCCTTCATTGATCCCTCATTCTCAGCCGCCAATACAAGCCTGTTGTCCTCAAATACAAAAATCTTTGTGATTCATCCCAGACATCATCTCCCTTCTGCCCTACCTTTGATGCTAGCTTTTGTCACTCCGTTGTTTTCAAAATTTATGAGTTCCCCTTTGCTGTCCTTCACATTTTGAAAGAGTCACCTATAAAACCTGGAAATCTCTTTTATAACACAAAATCCCACTAAAATGTCCATTTTGTGATTCCTACAACAGCAGATCGTTGAAGTGCTGAGATGATGACCCACAGTGCATTACTGGTTCATTTATCATAGAACCATTTAGGTTGGAAAAGACCCTTAAGATCATCCAGTCCAACTGTTAACCCAGCACTGCCAAGTCCACCACTAACCCATGTCCCTCAGCACCACGTCTGCTCATCTTTTAAATCCCTCCAGGGATGGCGCCTCCTCCGCTGCCCTGGGCAGCCTGTTCCAATGCTTGGCAACCCTTTTGGTGAAGAAATTTTTCCTAATATCCATCCTAAACGTCCCCTGGCACAACTTGAGGCCATTATATTTCTCCATTATCTTCCATCTACTTAGTCTGTTACACAGAGTTTTACGTGATTTCAGGAAGGGACTATCTTTTTGTCATATGTGTATAACGTTCAAAGCATAGCAGAGTCCTATCCCATGAGTAAAGCCTTTAAGTTCTTTAGTAACACAAATCAAATTACGCATCAAGTCTTACAACTGGATCACAGTCCCTGACTGTAACCATCAAAACAAAAAAACCCCAGGACTTCAGAGTAACTCACACATCAGAGTATCACAGGATCAGTCATCATACCTTCATCTAGGTAAATAATCTTCTATTTCCATGATTAGCCCAATTATTTCAGTTAGATTTTTGTTTGCATAAGTACCGAGAGGTTTCAGAATCAGTCTGGAAGCAGGCAACATAAACTCCATTCGTGGTGTATGTGTTCTTTCATTTGTCTTCAATATGAGAATAAAATCTTGCATCCCTGACTACCCACCCCCGCCCTTCTAACATCAGCTGGCAAGTCTCAGACCTAGAGCTCTTCCTGACAAGGGCTTTCACTTGGAAGGAGCTATCCTGCCTACTTGGCGGCTCTCGCTAACAGAAAAAAAATGGAGCGAAAGTAAATTCATTTTACACTTTTTCACTTACTTTCTGAATGTGCAACCTAACAACTGACACTAGAATCATTAGGAATGTCTCTAAGACTGAGGGGAAAAAAAATCCAGATCAAAGTTACCATATGTTCTTCTATTTTTCTGAGTCAAAAAAAGCCTTGCAGTCACAACTGCCCTTCTAGACTTATCTACCCTTTGTTTGCTGTGCGCCCTATAAACCTTTGTTTTCCAAAAGATGTGTGGACTGTCAGTGAGATACTGTCTGTTCTTAAGAGGGACTTCAAGTGCTTTCTCAGTACACTCAATCATTTGCTATCTACTGTTTCAAAGGGGAAAAAAAAAAAGGAGAACCCCAAAGTGAAATTGTCAGGGTTAGCCTAGCCCCATGTGACCTAGTCCTCCGTGCTCTCCTGAATTCTAATTGCTTCAGCTGTTCCGGCAGAGGAGGAAATTAGGCTTGTCCAGACAAAATTAATCTTATCAAAATAAATGACCATAATCTTGCATATACATTGCTATCAGAAAGTTCCAAATACTCAGGCAAATACTTTCAGATAGATTCTGGAAAATAAGTATTGCTCAATAAGTGTTGAATGAATCTTTCTTACATAAAAATTACAAAGATAAAATTTCTTAGACAGATTAACCCTTCCACACTTCAGGCAAGTGGCAGATTATAGCCTTTCCAGCAAAAAGAACACTCATGGATCGACTGTGCTTAAAAACAATTAATGGATTATCTTCTTATTTTCAGGCCTTGATTTCAGTTTACTTATATGTAAGACAGCTAAATAACATTTCACAGAAGACAAAAATACAAGTTCCAGGTCTGAGTTCAGACAGAGCAGGAACATTTGGAACTGTCAATCTGGCAGTTATTAAACTGTAAATGTCATGACTAACACTCTGAAGTACTTTTTTTGTTCTCCTATCTACAACATTTGCTTAAGATCTCCACGTGTTTCTTTACTTTGGAACTGATCATGAAAAGATGGGAGTTTTTTCATTCTATACTTCCTGTTTTCTTGGATCTAGCCATCTGTCCAGAGCTCCTGGATAACATAATGGTGCTAACGTGAAAATTGGCTGGACTTCTTACACTGTTGGGCTTTTTGGGGTTTTCAGCACATTTGAAAAAAGGTTTGGATTATGGCAGAAACCTAGTACTGCATTGGCAATTAGCCATCACTTTAGATCCCTTATAAAATTATTTCATCTGTATTCATATCATATTAAGGCATTACCATAACTCATTACCAATTCTTGAATCAAGTCATGATAAATATATGCCAGATCTCAATGTCCGCGGTCTGTTGCGCGCAGCTGCATTGTCATTTGCTTGCATGAAATCCAAGGGCTCACATGAACTGTCTGTCCATGGGCTATCTTTTAGACTAAATTTGGACTTGATCTCCCAGGATCTGTACACTTCCCCAGTTCAGATCCCGCCATTGCCCTCCCCAGAGCGGCTGGAATTTTTGGGAAAGCCCAGCTAACTACACAAAACTGGGAGGAGCAAGAAAAAAAAGGGTGCAAGGCAAGATTTAAATAAAAGGAAAAAGCAAGCACCAAGTATGAAAACACCACGGCCGTGCTGATAACAACTGTGTGATCCCTAACTTCTATGTGCCCTCCAAAAACAGCCATATCCATGAAAAAGTCAGAAAAAGGAACTTTCAGGAGAAAAAAGAGTAAGGTTTGTGTATCAACTTACAGTTTTAAAATATTAACAAGCTAGAGCTCTGATTCAGTGTACACTACATGTGCTTACAAGGGTCACCCTTTAACATCAAAGAACATGTTCAAAGTATGAAATAGGAGTTTTACCATTTATCTATGACTGCAAAACCATCTACAGCTTCTATTTTTAAACTTCAGTAAAATATCTTCAGAAGGTTCCTTGATGATTCAGTCAATCACCGTGCCTGTATAACATTCCTTGTTTGATTTCAGCTCTAAGAATTTTTTTAATTTGATGTTGTTGCATTCGTAACATACCCAGAGCTTCACTGTCCTATCGTAAGAGCATGAAAGTATTTTTCTGTCTTCAAAGCAAAAATGGCAGGAGCTCACAGTGTCGCTGTGTCCTCTCAGAATTTTAAAATGGATCTGTAAAGGAACAGAGCAAAGGTTAGGAATATTGTTCCTTCAAATTATTTTTGATGGCTTTGTCCACGAGGGGGAGTATGAAAGCAAAGACTGGAGGAGCATAAAAATGCCAAGTTCCCCTTGTGTGGGAAGAGCTGACATCCTCTGCCTGGGACCAGCTTGGCACAGGGTCACCGGGCCGGGCCTAGAAAGAAAGGTCGACGGATGTGAATTTTATTTTACTAGAGGGGAAGGAAGTTTAGTTTTGTTCCCCAATTATTCTTCCTGTCATGAAAAGCACTATTTAAGTGTCATTAAGTCTCTCTCCAGTCCTTCAAACGCACGTTTCCTCGACTCTGGCCCATCCCAGGGCAGCACATAACCACACAGACCGCACGTTTTAGCCAAGACCGTTACAAATTTTGTCAAAGGTGTTTTGAAAAGGCTTTTCCTCAGTCATTTGGGAGACTTCTCAGGACGGCCCCACACGCAGTTCGTGTGAGCAGAGCCAACAAACCCAGATGGCTGCAGCGTTCACCACAGCTGAAGCGCCAGAGCGCTGCTACACCCGCGGC